TCTCTCTCTCTCTCTCTCTCTCTCTCTCTCTCTCTCTCTCTCTCTCTCTCTCTCTCTTTCTGTATCCTATCTACAGGATGTTGTCCTGCATAAATTGTGTAGAATGCCCTCGGGTGAGTTGATGGCCCAGGTCCCACAGTGTAGGCACATGGTGTGCACTGTATGCACCAGAGTGATTTGTGACACTCAGAGTCTGCAAGTACAGAGATTCTGAGTATTTCATGTGTGTCAATGAGTTTTAGTCCTCCATGGTGCATGGTGTCAGTCTCTATGGGTCATCAAGTACTCCTTGCAGGGACAGTGGATGAGGCCACTTTATCAAAGTATGGACAGGAACTAGAATTCAACTTTTGGTCTCCAAACACATCCAACTCCTTCACAGCAGCCAACAGGCCTGTGGGTTCTGCTTAGAATCGCTGAGGTCCAGTGAGGACCTCCTGATGTTATGACAGAATCCCATCCTTCAGGGAAAGACATCCTGTCTGTCATTTTTAGCTTTCCCATACTTCAGCCCTTGTTCCAGGATCTCTGACCTTGTTGTGTGCCAACGTGACTCAGCCTTTGCCCTCTTGTGGCCATTGTGTGTGTTCTCGGTTTGTTTATCTGTGTTGTGGACTGAGAACTCAAACAGCATCTGTGCAAAATCTTGCAATCATTCATTCTGCATTTTAGAGATCATCACATTCTTTTAGAGTTCCTGCCTGAGATGCTGCTTTGTTAGCATGGAATTTGGCCATCCGTGACCCCCATGGAGTATGAGTACTTAGTTCTGGTTGTTGGGCCCTGCAGGCTGGGTTTAGCAGTTATCTAGTGCCCATTCTCACTGCTCAGGAGCAGCTGGTATCAGAGATGTTCTCGGTATACCATGAGGAACTTGCTGCTGCCCAGATTATCTGGCTGTTGAGTTTTGGCTACATGCACACAGACATACACTGTGAAGAGCATCCACCTAGGGCCTGAGTACCACAGAGGAAAACCGATCCTTAATTGGGCTATTTGGGAGGAATTTCACAATGACATGCAGAAGGGAGGCTGAAGCATAGGCCTGAGCAGTCTAATGTCTTTCCAACAAGTGCTGTTCCATGTGCTTGTTCATGATTTTTTTGTGTGTATCCCTATAATGTAGGATAACAGTCAGCTACAAATGTTTGATGCCTCTGGACCCCAACAACCTCAACTGGCTACTACCCTTATGTCTTTCTGTGAAGGTTCTACCCTTGACTGGTGAAAGTGGTAAGCCTTTGCTCTTTCAGACTGGAGACCTCTCCTGAAGACCTCGTGGGTCCCCTGGACATTCATGGGGGTAGGCTCAAATCTCCCCTAGCACTCCTGTGATCCTTGTGCATGGCAAGCATTTTCAAGGTTCTGCGTGTCTCTGAACCTTCAATGTCTTCTAGAAGGAGAGCTTGCACAAGTACCCAAATGTGTTTTGTTGAGTGCTTGGATTCATGATGACACACCAAAAACATTCCTTGGAAAAGCTGAAGAAATGAGTGAAAACTCCAAACTGTTGTTGTCTTCGCTTCTGCATTCCAGGTTGCTTCCTCTAGCAGAGATTACTGGATCAGTGCATCCTGTCACTGAGCTTAGCTTCCTCATACCCCAATGTCATTATCCTTGTCTCAGTCTACTTTCTTATTATGCTTTATGTGCAATTACTCCATTGGCAGAGGCATCTTTTTCCAGCGCCATCTACATTGTCATTATGTTGAAAAGGTTTGGAACTATGTTGATTAGTTTTCCTATTACTAAATATAAAATCCTGACACTCAAGTAAAGGCAGAAATTCATATTTAGCTCACAGTTAGAGGTTTCCATCCTTAGTTGTCTGGCTACAAGGCATGGTGGTATGTCCGAAGTTTTCCCAGAGAAACTTTTCTCAGCAGGTGTATGGTATCATAACAAGCATGTATTACTGCGGTACTTCTGCTACTTTATGTGTCATCTATGCTACTTAGTGCAAGTAGCACTGGTGAACTTCAGCCTAGCACTACACTATGAACCATTCCTTACATCATTCTCTTGATCCATTCTGCTCTGTGAAAGCCTTACCTACTGTTACTGCACCAGGCTTGGACACACAATAGGAGCTTATGTTCAAATTTGGACCAAGTTCTATCAATAGAGATAATTTTCAAGGTGTGTGTACCCTGCTTATGACTAATATACAGCTGTGTTATCAACAGAGTGAATTTTCCTGCTCCTATCTAGTCTCACACCTGTGGCAATGTGTGGCCTACAATTCCGCTAGTGAGAAGAATTTTCTTATATGGAAGCCAGCTTCATCAGTTCTCTTTTTCACACTGCACATGAGAACAGCAGGGCTTTAGTTAGAGGTTACAGCTTTTTGCACTTTGATGTGATAGTGAATTCACTCCAAATGAATGCTTGTCCTGTGCACATACATTATACTCTATGTAAGAAATAACTGAAGTACATAGATCTGACAAAGCCGGCACATGGGCAGTTGGCCAAATAGAATTGATCTTGCAAGCTGTTTACTCATTTGCTTTCTGAAGCACACTTGTGTTTCTTCTACGCCTCCCTCTTACTATTGCCGTGAGACTGATTCCAGGGGTGAAACGGAAGTCCAGTGTGCCATGAGGTCCTCTGCTAGGCCAGAAACCCCTGGGACACCTGTTGAGAAACCTTTTCTGAATGTTGATGAAGCACTGGTTTTGGTACATGACATGCACAAGCCCACGGAGCTTCTTAATTTCTAGGTCTGAACAGTGTACTCAGATCAATAAAGACTCTCATACTTGTACTCCTTGAAAAAATGAGGAAAATGAGTGAAAACTCAAAGCCATCATCCTTGCTGAACTGAGGTCCAGCACATTACCCCATGAGGGACTAGAAACATAGGATGGGAGGATACAGGGCAATCATTCCCACTGGGGAACCACCTGATTGGGCCAGTATGTGTATGCCCTTGGCTTACAGAAGTCCATTCTCTGGACATCTAATCTCTCATGGTGGCCTGCCTGCCACCATGCTGTTTGAATGGCTGTCCCGGCACCACCAGAAGCCTGATAGCTCAACGAGTGTACACGTATCTCTGGACTTCCAGTTGTGCTGGCTGGCACATGCTTATAAACCCTGCACTTTGAAGGCTGAGGCAAGAAGATTCCCATGGCCTATCACAAATGAATCAAAACAAATATCAGTGAAAGAGCTAGCTTAGCTGTTAGCCTATTTCTTCATTGCCATGATGTTTGCTGTCTTGGTGCTTTGGCCTTTTGTACACTAGAAGGATACAGAATTGGTTGTTGGAAAGGGAGCCTAAGGTCAGCCTTGACATTGGCTTGACTCATTCTGTTGGTCTGTCTTGGGGATTATAATAGCCAGGGGGTTGGATTGAAGTTGACGGGCCTATGTTGTCCGAGGTCCCTGGAGAAAGTCTAAGAACATCTGTGTGGTTTCCCTGTGTAGTGGTGCTATGGAGAAATGTGAAGTGGGTGCTATCTAGGTCTACCATAGATGAGAGAAACATGGTGGACAATGTGCTAAGCATTATCTTGTGACCACCTTTCCAAGTGATTCTGGGACATTTCCAATGGCTGTTCCAGGGGATGAGGACGCACGGCAGATGCTGGTTGGCCATACTCCCAGAATCCCTGTCTAGTCACGCATTGGTCATAGGATTCCACGTATGAGACAAAGTATCTGTCTCTATTGCCCTGTCATGTTTCAGGTGTCAGCAGCCCCACCATGTGAGGTTAGAGTCTGGTTTTAGCCTTTGCTAAAGACAAAAAGTAGAAGGATACCTGATATGTATAGGTCGTGAAGCCATAAACTAAGATAAACTTACAATCCCAATCCATTGGGATTCTGCTCACCAACAGAAATATAGAGAACATGTATGCAGTTTCACTGGAAGCAGTGGCCTGGAGAAATACCAAAAGGGTAGAGAGTTAAAGGGTGAAAAAAGTATGAGAAAATATGAGAAAGAAACTTCCCAGCAAACTCAGCAACATATACAGACTCCATGCGCCCAAGCCCTGGTTAGTAAAAGGATGGCCAGGCCTTCAAACAAGCTACATGCTGTACCCAAAAATCCCAAATCCCATGCATGCATTGCATGCATGTGCATCAAAGTGATTTAGGATCATGGGGTTTTAGTCCCATGACAGTGATTGGTAGCATCGACTCTGAGATCCCTCATTACCCTCCCTAGTGGCCATAGCACTTATATAGAATGCATTGCATACATGTCTTCCAGCGGCCAAGTACTAGGCATGAGTCACCCTGCAACATGTAGTTATGGTTTCCTTTTAGCCTTTACTGAAGAGAGAACAAGGAAGGGCAGCAGAGGGCAGAGACAGTGAGCTGACTGGTAAAATAACTTTGCACACTGAGCTAATTGAATCTACCACATCATCTACCACAGCAAATGGTAGAAGAGTGAGAAGAGTGGATGGGATTGGAACACTTCAAGAACACTGTCCAGTGTCCCAGAGTTGCTGTCTATGATGCTGTGCTGAAGAGTGGGTGTGGTTCTGTGCTCAGTTTCCGCCATGTACTGTCAGTAAAGACAGTTTCCAGGATAAGCGTGCCTACCGCACCCAGTCCATTGTAGGGAATATTACATCAGCAACCATATATAGTCATAGTGTAGTCCTGCGCCCATCATGCCAGTAGCCTATGACCTACAAGGCCCCCTCATAGGGAGGGGCCTTGTTTGGCAGCAGGCTAGCCCTCTGCACACTTACCGTGTGGCTTTTTGTTGAGGGGCTGCACATCTATGTCCTTGGTGCACTGATGTATTCCTCTCGATGAATGCTTGCTCCACATGCACATGTAATACACCAGGAGCAGATGCTACACACAGGTCTTAGCAGATATGAACACAGTAGGATGAATGATATTTCCCTCATGCTCTGCGTGCCTCTCTCCTTTTCTGAAGCACATCTGTATTTTTCTGTATTTCCTAGCTGGCATTGCTGTTTGATGGACTGCAGAAATCTAGCGAGAAGAACTGTACATCCTGAGACCCTCAGAGAGGTCAGTGGTCCTCAAATGATTGTGGATTACTTCTTTGGTGGCAGTGGGTATTTGATAAAGGTTAGTGGTTGCAAGCATAAATAAAACATTATTCCTAATTTGCTTAAGAATGCTCTCGGATCAGTGGTGATGTGCATAAATTCATTCCTTGGAAAGCCGAACAAAATGACTGAAAACGCTACACCATCTTTCTCATCAAACAGAGATCCAGTGCACTTGTGCAGAGAAGGCTAAAAAGAATGATGGCAAGCAATAGGATGGCTCAGCTGGCAGTTACTGCCCTAGGAGCAGCAGCACATGGTCTTCCTTGAGCAGCATTAGGACCAAGGTATACAGATGTCCTTCAGAATTAGGTAGTGAGTAATTTTTCCAGTGGCTATGTCACAGTCTGTACTGGGGTCAGTATTGGTCAGCAATGACCCTGCATCTAGGACTGCCACCTCTCTGTTCTGTCTCATATTAGCAGTGAGCATCTCTGCAGCCTGGAGTGAGAGGCCAGCAAAAGATCAGCTTTTTCTGCAAGCAGAACTCCAAAGGAGGTGCACAGGTTGTGAGGCCCTGAGCTAAACTGCCCATGTACACAGGTCTGCTCTTCATGACTCTGCCCCTGGATGGGCCCCAGAAACTTTTCTGTTCTACAGTGTCTGAGACCAGGGCAGCAGATGGGAAGTATAATACAGCAGTCCTGTTGTGGATGTTCTGTGCAGGGTGGCTGAGCAGTTCCCAGATGTTCCCAGGTCCCAGGGGTGCCAGATATGGCAGTGTGCATGAGCAGCTGTGGTGCAATCCTTGGTTAGGGGCCATGTGCTAGTCTTCAGGGAGGGGTTTCAGGGCCACAGAGGGCCTGGAGTTGCCCTGCGGTTACCATGCAGTACTGTACTCATACTGCTTTCTGTCTGTGGCCTACCAACCACTAGAGAGCTCAAGACTTTCTCCTGGAAAAGGCAAATTCTTTAGATAATTCTCAGTCACGTTGCAGCTCTGGAGAGGAGGGCTCCACACAGGGTCATGGATTGTAACCTATGGTGTGATGATAAGTACATTCACATCAGCAATTTTCCTGTGCACTCTTGTCTGCACAGAGACCAGCTGAGGCTTATGGACCTTAGAAAATAATCAAGGACAGTTGGTTAAATCTAATCACCCTGGTGAGCTGTAGCCATCCATTTTTCTGACTTATGTTTTCATTTCTTCAGCACTTCACGTGGGGCAGACCCCAGAGGCAGTGTGGATGAAGATCTGCACACACTGAGAGCCTCAGAGAGCTCTGTAGGCTACGGAGCTGAGTGGAATGGATGCTTCTGGATGAAGGTACTGAATGTGGAATCAGGCAATAGTTCTTAAGTTTTCTTGACAATTAAGGCACTGGGACTGAGACAAGCATTTCTCTGTTTTTAGTTTTTCCCATCACAATGCAAGTGGTTTTGTGTGGTTTTTAGGTTTACCTTCAAATATAAGATACAACAAGTATTTTGGATGTGAAATGATTATATTTCAAATATATTTTCACATAGATTTTATTGGACAACTTCATATACTTTCAATGTTATCCATTGTTCAGAGAGATCCTCATTATAATAAATGCTTTGAAGTGGATGTACTGGGGAGACGTTGGGTGATTGTTTTATTAAATGTTTTATACTCTTGTGGTCAACAATGCAAATATACTTGTTTTTGTGATACTAGTGGTCCAGTGAATATCTTTTATGAATGCTTTTTTGTCTTCTATGAATTCTTATAGTTGCTTGTAATTAAATGATTAGATAACAAAATTTTGTTTTCCTTATCACAATTTTCCTAACTTCTTCTGTATTTTATAGGTGAGGTATGCCAGAATACCCTGGAATGTTATTGCCAACCAGTGGAGATCTGATTTTGTCACCTTCATCTGTGAAGGAACAAAACAATGTACTCTTAGGGTAACAGCCATTTTCAATAAAATTATTTTTGTGTGATTTGGGTATTTTTTAAATAATCAACAATATAATGTGTAAGCAGTAGATTAACACATATAGTGTTGGCCATTACTAATCTGACAAGATGTCTGAGATATCACTTATTAAGATTTTGTGCAGCCATGGAGATAGCTCAGTAGAATAAGTGCTTGCCTGGCAAGTGCAAGGACCTGAGTTCAATCCCCGGTTCTGCCAAAAAATAAAAAATAAAAAAATAAAAAAATTGTGCTTTTCTGCACTTCAAATATCTAAAACATCTTACAGTGGGTTGTAAGTCATTATATATACATTTGCAAGAAATCTTCTGTCTTTTGCAAGTATGAAAATGAGTTGCACCTTCCCCTTCCTTATTCAGACATAATGTGTTTCTTTCTGCAGGCAAAAGACAAATAACTGGGCTTCAACTGGATAAGTTTCTTCTTTCCCTCTGTTATGACACAAAGGAAAGTGTAAGGAAAATTGCATTCTTAAGATTCAAGGGAGTTCTCATTTGGTAAGCATTTTTTTTCCTGAAAATCTTGACTTTCCTCTTAAGAGTATCACAACATTCCAATGACCCTGGAGACCTTAACAATAGTAGGCAGCTTTGGGGTGAGACATTGATAGTGATACTGGTCTCTTGAAGGCAAAAAAGCACCTAAATCTAAAGAAAATAAGACGTGTTACTTTTAATTTCTCTAGTAAGTAATATAAGTACATAGAAGCGGAAAAGTGAAGTGATACATGGAAAGCCCTCACAATACATTTTCAGTTATTTGCTAATGGACACTAGTACTGGTCATGTTCTTTTTCTAGTTAACAGAAAAAAAACCTAATTTTTGTCAAAAAAATTAAAAACGAGCAAAGATTCAGACATAAGAGCTGGGAAATAGGAACATGACAGACATGAACCTAGCCTTTTGAAGGTTACAATGAATTTTTGAAGAATCCTGGGACATTCCATGTTTTTAAATAAATGAATAAGCTATAGACTGTCTACCACTGAGATACTCTTGAACAGAAGACACAAAAGTTTGAAGGAGAAAGCTCTGACAGAGACAGAAGAGAGGGGAAAGAATGTCTAGAGGATAGCTAGAGATGCTATGCTAGCATCACAGAACATAGACTTTCAGATAAAATGTTCCTATAGAAAAAGAAATTTTTTACTTTATGGAAGATGAGTTGATTATGCTCTGGAATATATAACAATGATGACCATACTAGCACTCACGATTGTGCTCCAAACCCTAACTATATATGCTGATGCCTGTGAACTAAACAACTGCACTGAAGATAGCAATGTGTAATACCATGGCTTTGCTTGGATTACTATCATTTTGGTCTTCTAAATACATACTGCTTCTTTTTTTTTCATACTGTTTCTAATGTCATATCAATTACTGCTATACAGCTTCTCAAGTAAATGTTTGTTTAAGAAAAAAAGGTAATAAATGAAAATAAGAGACAAGAAAAAAATGTCACAGGACTGTCCTGCTACAATGTTGTACATGGTTAGATTTCTAAATTTCTGTGTAAAAATATTTAATTGTTTATTCCTATTTTTTTAATTTTTTATCTATTTTTTCTTAACATTCTGTAGGGATTTAAAGTTTAACATATCAATACTTGATGGCAAACTAGATAAAACAAAAGCTGCCATGATTCAATGGATAAAGGTAATTCAACAATAGGAACAATTTAATCCTCCAATTTGACCTTATGGGGCAGAGGGACAATATGCCAGGAGAGTTTAATTTAAAACTGTATTAAGTAGCCATGTATGTTAGTGCACACCTGTAATACCAGCACTTGGGAGGCTGAAATAGGCAGACCACTGTGAGTTCCAGACCAGCCTGGGCTGGCTACATAGTGAGTGCAAGGCCTGTATGAACTACATAGGGAGACCCTCTCTCAAAAAATAAAAACAAACAAACAAAAAACTGTATTCAGTAAACTTAAGAGATCATGCAGAATATCTTTTATACTGATAGGAAAATTAAATTAGATGTCAAAAGAAAAACGAACTTGGAAATTGTCAAATATTTGGAAATTAACACACTTTATAGAACCTACAAATGAATAGAAAGTTTTAAGCTATAATATTTTGTACTAATGAAAAACAAGAATGTAAGGATTAAACAACAAAGAGAGGGCAAGGAGAAAAGCTAGGAAGCATGGCAGGGGCAAAACCATACATTTATATACATAAGATAGTTAAGGCAATGATCCTGAGAATCTCCATCAGGTTTTTGAAACTAGCAATTAATTGGTAGGATTCACACCCTGACTAACTATATATGCTGCTACCTGTGAGCTAAGGAACTGCACTGAAGATAACAATGTGTAATACTAGGGCCATGCTTGGAATCCATCGTTCTGGTCTTCTAAAAGTGTACTTTTTTAATTTATTTTTTTTAAGTTAACAGAAAATGGAAATATACTTTTTAAAGTTTCTAATACTAGGAGAATATATCATATGATGTCTTTTAAATAAATTGTAAGTCAAAGATATAGTATAAATCTTAGAACAAAAATTAAGATTAAGCAATATGCAGAAAATTAAATACTAATTAACTAAAAATTAAATGTTTCAAAACAATTGAACTAAGAAAAAGTTTTCATGATAGCAAAGAAGTACTGAGAGTAAAACATAAGATAAATACTGGAATGGCAAATAAATGACCAGCACTTCTCACAGTTTGAGGATAGGATATCGCACAAAGTTCTAGTGTGTTGTGGACAAGCATAATGACCGTGACAGTTACTGGTGGCTAGGCGTCATTGTGGGACAGCTATTTCTTTGAAATCCACCCTGTAGACTCAGATGGAATCATGCCCATAGGGTGGAAGAGAAGTCCATTTGTAGAGTGTGCTGATGGAAATGTTTTGCTGGTGAACACAAAAGCATAACTGAAAGACTACTACTGTATACCTCTTATTCTCCTCTGTTTGTTTGCCCTATTTGGTGGGTTCATTCCATTCTCATTCATGGGGCTGTGATCAATTTGCTCCCTCTCTAGAACATCATTTAGTAGTCTGTATAGGCTTGGCTTTGTCATCATGAAATTCTTTAGTTGTTCTTTGTCGTGGAAGTATTTCACTTCTCCATTATACTTGAAGGAGAGTTTTGCAGGGTACATCAGTCTGGGTTGGAATTTGTTTTCTTGCAAGACTTGAAGTACTTTGCTCCATGCTCTTCTTGACTTGATGGTTTATGAAGAGAAATCTGCTGTTACTCTGATGGGTTTTCCTTTAAATGTGATCTGTTTCTTTTC